GACAGTAAAGTTAACTCTGCAATAAGGGATATACCTTTAACTTGCTGGTCTGTCTAATACTTCTCTAAATCTGAACATTCACATTGAGACAGACTAGGAAGAAGGATTGGCCATCCACTTCTGAAATAACAGGCCTCTGAAAACCCTATGTACAACACAGAGCGGAGTTTAGGGCTGTTGTACATCGGGTCGCTATGAGTCGCAGGCGACTCGACGGCACATAACAACACCAAACAACATGGAAACAAAATCTGGTATGTATTTGTCCTTATCTTGGCACAATACTTGTAAGGTAACACTGATATAGCATCTGTTTCTCTCCAAACGCTGTAATAAGCAGTGTGGCCAAGTTCTCATTCCCCCTCTTGAGATCCTACTCTTTCCTGTTCCATCTGCTTACCCCTTCTAATTTCTCTCTCTCGTTGTGTAGGTGCCCTAGCCACACTGTTGTTATGTGCTGTCAAGTCACTAGCGACTTATAACAACCCCATGTACAACAAGCTGGGAACCCGGCTCTATCCTGAGTCAATCTTACTGTCTCTGACACACCTACTCCTATTACCTCAATAACTGAGTCAATCCATCTCATCGAGAGTCTTCCTCTCTTGTGCTGTCCCTTCATCCTCCCAAGCATGATGTCCCTCTCCAAGGACTGGTCCCTCCTTGCAACATGTTCAAAAGGAATGGAATTATTTCATATCTGGCTGGTATAACCTCGGTCTTGAGGAAAGCATCAGGCAAACTAGACTAAAGGACATCTTCCAAGACTATCGAACATTGAAAAAACAAGACTGAGACACTATCTCAGACCAGAGACATGATAGCTAAAGAAGGTGTCCTGGACTGGATCCTGAAACAGGCCATTCATAGGAAAGTTGATAACTAAATAAGATCTTGAACTTAATGAAGAATAACGCACCAATGTCAGTTTCTTAGTTTTGACAAGAGGGAAACATGGTGAGAAGGAAAACTCTGTTCTGTCTTGGCTTACTTTTATGGAAATCATAAAACTAAAAGTTAAGAAATCACTATCCTACTTTAAAAAGAACCAACAACCCATATGCTCTCAAATCAATTCTGAACTCACTGTGGCCCCACCTGTTTCAGAGCAGAACTGCGTTTTTTATAGGGTTTTCAATGGCTGTGATCTTTTGGAAGCAAACTTCTAGACCTTTCTTCCAAGGCACCACTGGGTGGATCTGAACTGCCAACCTTTCAGTTAAGAGCTCTGGTGGCATGTTGTTGTTAGGTGCCATCGAGTTGAGGATGGCCCATAGTGACCCTACGAACAACAGAGCTGAACCCTGTGTCATCCTCACCCTTTCCGACACACTTGAGCCCACTGCAGCAGTCACCGTGTCGACCCATCTGGTTGAGGATCCACATATCCTTGGGATATTCAGTATTCTTCTCCAACACCACAACTCAAAGGCATCAATTCCTCTGTCATCCTTATTCATCTGAGCTGGTGGCTTGGTGGTAATGCAAAGGTACACAATTCATATCCACCAGCTGCTCCATGGGTAATCTCCTCCTATGCAATTTATTGCCTCTGAAAACCAACCAGAGGATCAGCTATGGGTTGGCTGCTACTCAAAGGTATACAACAACTCATTAAAAGTTAGATACTAAAACAAGCAGGTGTAAGCCTACAGAGCAATGTGGTATTTAAGTGTCTCCAAAAGGCCTCATAAAATACTTGTTACAAAGAGAAATAAAGTAACTTAAGCTACAGAAACTTCCCACACACCATTTTAATCATCACTGGTAATGGGAAAAACTGAAATCATGCACTACTCCAGATGGCAATGAGAACAGAGTATCACTTTCTGAAGTTTCTGTATAACCAGCATCTAATCCCAAGGAAATATTGGACAAACCAAAATTGGGAAACAATCTGCAAAATAACTGGCCTGTAATCCTCAAAAAGTATGAAGGTCATAAAGGCTAAATACTGAAGAACGGTTCTGATGAAAGGAAATGAGACAACTATATACACGTGTGGTCCTGGAACAGAGCTTTGGCTATAAAACAATATTGATAGTGATCAAACTAGAAATCGGTCTCCTGGATTAGTGCACTGCTAATTTTCTAGTTATGTGGATACGTAAAAAGCCCTTGTGTATAAGAACTGCACATTTAAAAGCATTTGGAAACGCTCAGTTCAGGAGAGAATGATACCACACAAATTTCTGTTGTGATTTTTGACTGAAGCTATTTTTAAGTCTTGGATTATTGAGGATGGTGTTCCTCAGAAACAAAAAAAACCCCTTGTGAAGCCTCTTAGTAAATATACAAATCTCATTCTCAGTTTTCTGGTAAATATTCCTTCTGTAAATTGTTACTACTTTATGTATGTAAATACAGATAATGTTTCTATTCCTTCTTACTGTTGTTTGTTAGGTGCTGCCAAGTTCAGTATGACTCACCATCGTACTTATGAACAAAACCCTGTGAACACAGACCTGAATCCTGGCCTATCCTGTGCCATCCTCATCATACCTGATACGCTGGAACCCACTGCTGCATTCACTGGATCAATCCATCTCGATTGGAGTCTTCCTTTCTTTCGCTGACCCTCCACCTTTTCAAATCATGATATCCTTTTCCAAGGAAAAGCATCTCCTCCTAGAAACATGTCTAAAGTATGAGCGATAAAACCTCGCCATCCTTGCCTCCAAGGAGCACTCTGGTTGCACTTTCTCCAAGACATACCTGTACATTCTGTTGGCAGGCCATGAGATATTCAGTACTTTCCCCCAATACACTCAAGTTACTAGGGTGGTTGGTTTGGTTTTTCTTTGGGGGGGGGGGGGGGGGGGTCCTGTACAGAGACCATAGACTGCAGTCAGAAAATAAACACACTGCCATTGATTAGGAACTGACTCACAGCTGACCCCTCAGTGAGTTTTCCAAAGGCTGTGGATCACACAGGAGGAGATCGTCCATCTTTCTCCTGAGGAGCAATTTGAAAATCAGAGGCGCCAACTTTGAGTTAGCAGTGCAACTCAGACTGTACTATCAGAACTCCCTTAGGCTACAGAAGGCGTGCACAAAGAATAAAACCTGCCTCAGAGAGCCAAGAGGTTCAGGAGTGTTGGAGGACCTTCATAAATACCAAAATGAAGAGCATCTTTGTTGTATTTGGCATTTCAGATGGATTGAGGCTAAATGCTCCTGCTGCAAAGCTAGGCTACCTCTTCCTACTTATTTTCACCATTACTAATGATAGCATATTTCTAATTCAATGTCTTATATAAAATTCTGTGGTTCTTAATGTGAATTTTTTTCATTCTTGCTACTGTTTTGAAGTATATAAAATAAACATGATTATTAAAAAGTATCTGCACTTAGCACTCTAAAAAGTTTCACAAAGAGAAAAGCCAATCAACATATAACTTGATTCACCTGATTTCTAAAGATAGCCTATACTTGGCCTTCTGAACTGGAGACAGCCCATCTGTTAGGCAGCAATGTGCACTTACTACCCCCCTCCAAACAATACTGACTCCTAACAGTCAGATCACATCAGGGGGTATGTCAGCACCAACTTAAATAGTAGGCTGAGTGCTAACCAGCCGTAAGCCATTTAAGCTGCATAAGTTAAGAAGGAGAGAAGGCAGGTGCAGAAGGTGTGCATGGTACCTGAGTGGGCGTCTGCTCAGCTGCCTGGATCTGAAAGTTCTGGGAGGGCTTCTGAGGGATGGTGGGGAGGGTGGCAGATGCTGCCTGGACCACCCGCAGGGCCTGCTGGGGGATCTGCACCACCTGCTGCTGCTCGGCTTTGGGGGGCACCACTTGGACCTGCTGGACCACAGCCGGCTGGCCTGCACCAGGGCTCTGAACAATAAGTAGGTTGTTTCCTGCTTGAATGATATTGTCTGCGGTAGTCTCGATCAGCACCGTCTCCACCTGCTCGGCCACGGCCACGGGGGGCTGGGAGGCAGAAAGGCTCTTCTTCCTTGCTTTCTTGTTAGTCTTGGATAGTGGAGTGGGGGTACTTTCGGCAAGCAGCTGAGTCGTGGTTCCGGTGTCGCTGGTGTTCACAAGGTTGTTGACGGGCAGAGTAAGAGTCACATTGCCACCCCCTCCTGTCAGCTTCACCACATTGGCGCCACTCTGCACGGGCGTGGGGGTCGTACTTGATTTCTGGACGGGGGCTGGTTTGATGGGGACAGGTTTGTGGCTGGACGGTGAGGGAGTGATGATGGCTTGGTTGGTTCCGGGGATGATCTGGATCTGGTTGGTGAGATTGGGCTGCACCTGGATGGTCTGGGAACCGCCTGCCTGAATCTGCGGGACCGTCTGGTACTGGATATTGGAACTGGGTCGGCTCCCTTTGCTGACCATGGTGGGATTCTGGATAGCGAACACCAGCTGCCCTCCAGGATACGACGTGCTCAGTTGTGACCCCTGAATCTGAAGTATGTTTCCTTTGGAGGATAAGATTCCAAAGCTATTCTTGCTGAGACTGACAGGGAGCGGAGCAGGTTTGATGGGGACGAGTTTCCGTGGTGTGGGCTGCGGGGGAGCAGGAGGGGTCACAGCAGCTTCAACAGCTGGGGGACCAATTTTGCTACATGTTGCAGCAAGCAGGGCTAAAGGAGATGGCTGGGAGTCCTGGGTGGTAGAGGCGGCAGGCTGCAGGTAGTCACTGGGGCTGACAGCGGCAGTGGCAGCCATGCTGGTCTGTGGATCTGTGGGAAGAACAGAGACACAGTAATGTACAAGATGCTGAAAATAAGAGAGTGCCCTTGCCTCAATTTCCTTTTGGTCACTAATGACCCCTTCCCCATTCTAGATCAGCGTACATCTATTTTAGTACATGGTCTCATTCTCTTTTCAGACTCAGTCATTGGAGGGTGTGGGAACAGGTGGTCCTGCCTCTACAGTCTACTGGACTGTGTCCTCTGGCCATCATAAAGATACCTAGACTGTCTTCAGTAATAAGCTGTGCCACCTAACAGAGCCTTCTCTCTGCAGGACACCGCTAATTCTCCCAAGTTGGATGGAAACCCCTATAGTGTAGGCAGAAGGTATCCCAGATCATCTTCTAGCTCTAACTCATTTCCTGCCCACTCAAACCGTAGCCAGCTGCCAAGCCTGCCAGGGAGAGAAGCCCTGACAAGGGCCATCTGCTCCATTCAGAAGTCTAGGGTGTTGTGTGCTCAGCCTTCACCACAAAGGCACAGTGCCCCTAAAGATCAATGTATACCATATGGATAATTTAAGTGAACTTAAATTTTACCTAAGACAAAAGAAAAGATATGATCTCAGAGACTACAAAGGATCAATGACTGCAGTAAATTCAGTCTGTGCTTTTAAATTTATGTGCACCTCTATATGAAAATATATCTAAGGGGGGAAAGAATGCCAGAACATCAAAATCCATTACCTATGGGCAGAAGAATTTCCTTGAAAGTTTTTCTCTGTTTTTCTATACTTTCTCATTTTCCAGAAATGCCTATTTTCTAGTGTACTTTTATTTTCAACAAAGGAAAAGGATGAGGAAGTCATGGAGGAATCCCTATTCTGTACTTAAGTCTGATCCAAAAGAAAGAGACGTAAATTAGGATTCATGAGAATTTGGGGAGGAAGAATCTTTCAGTTCATGAATTTCTAAGGAAAAGAAACCTGGGCTTTCAAAAGTTATGCAGATCTTTGGAAAGTAGACTTGAGGAAGTAGAAACAAGAGCACTCACAGAGGCAAAAGAAAATGAAAATCTTAACAGAAACCACAAAATCATCCCTATGTTGAATATGAGGAAGCAGTAGCTCTAAAGATAGTATGAGTTCCCTCTGCCGGTCTTACGTTGAGGTCTTTTTGCCTGTCTTACTTGGCCTCAACTTGCAGTGTGTATGAACAAGGGCTTGTTGGGACTACAAACTTGATTGAAATAGATCAGGTGTGAAAGAACCTAGGGGAGACAGGCCAGGAGGGCTGGTGTTTAAAAGACTAAAACTTAGAAGGGAGCTCTGACAGATACTACAGTTCACCAAAAAAAGGCCCATTAAATAAAAAACTACACTCCAGCTCAAGAACCAGGGTGAAGCCCTGCTGGGCATCTGCTTAAGAGGATAGAAGGTAAGAGATAAAGCAGAACCATTACCATTTTGGCTGGCCTCTGGCTTCTCCAGTAGAATGACTCTTAAATGGAAAAGACAGGCTATTTGGGGTGGGGGCTGCGGGACTGAAGTTAGGACAGGTGATGCTGGTAAGACAACATTCCAATGCCTTAAATGGTCTCTAGGCTCAAACTGCACTCTCAGACTCCAGTGTGAGAGACTCTGCAGACACACGTGCAAAAACTGCAAGGAGCAGCTGGAATCTTAGACACCAATCCGTGCCAAGTTCAAGAAGAAATGACTGAGCAGCACTGGAATTATTAAGAGCACAAGAAATAAAGATAGGAGTTATGAAAAAAAAGTTAGGTTGCACAAACTTCCGTTTCTTCTTTATATAGGACTTTAGATCAGGAGAATGGTGTATATAAACACCATGTGTTTTACACAAGGCATCTCGAATGAAATTTTCTTAGTGGTCTGGTGAACAAGGTTAACTGTGGGCAGGGCAACAGTCTTGTTTGAGGCTCTGCTGAGCAAGCCTTCACTAAGTGGTGCAGTCAACCATTCAGGAGTCTGCTGCTGCAGTGCCAGCCAGTGTGGCCTGTGAGGGGTAGGTTTGTGTTCGGACCAGGCCCACAGCCTTCTCCTTGGGGGCTCATGTTTTCTCTACCAGGACTTTTAAGTTTTTATTTTGATCAGATTTTGGTGCCTGGGTGACTATTGCTGAACCAAGTCCTGCTGTGTCTCACACTTGTGTTCATGCTTACACCTGCAAGGGACCAAGCGGCACCAGCATCACAGGCGCTCATTTAGACACACTCATTCGACATCATGCTTGGTAAAGTGGAGGGTCAGCAAAAAAGAGGAAGACCTTCAACAGGATGGACTGACACAGCAGCTGGAACAGTGGACTCCAACCCAGCACCAACTGTGAGCATGACACAGGGCAGGATTTCATTCTGGGGCTCACAGAGTTCCTATTTGTCAGAACCAACCTGAAGGCACCTAACAAAAACAACTCTACAAATCTGTGCAAAGAGAAGGCCCAATGATGTGAAGACTGTGACATGGGCACAAATACACTGCAGGGTGGGCTCGGAGAACTCCAGAAACCCCAGAGTGTCAATTATGCTGAGCTCCGGGCTTACAATGAAAGCAGTGATTCTGGTTCAGAAAAGCATTGTCCTCCCTGCAGGGATGCTGCTGGCTTGAATTTTAATAACTTTCTGGTAATAATCTCTTCACGTCATAGGCACTAGATCTGTTAACTGATACACAGATTTGTGCTTAACTATAATTCAGCGGTAGTGATATAATAAAAATAATCCAAGTTGATCCAAAACCCTTTTTTCCTTTACCAGAGTAGTGACCAAACCATTTTGAATTTAACCAGTTAGAAAAAGTTTTACATCCACACCCATGTTTATTGCAGCTTTGGTCACAATAGCAAAGAGTTGGAAACAATCCAAATGCCCATCAACAAATGAATGGATAGAGAAGCTGTAGTATATTCACACAATGGAACACTATGCTACATGAAAAAACAAGGAACTCATGAAACATTATACAAAATGGGTAATCCTGGAGAACATTATTCTGAGTGAATTATCTCAGTCACAAACGGACAAATACTGCGCAGTGCCACTGTTGTAAAGCAGGATTGACATCGGGGTTGGGAGGAAACTAAGAGAGGATAAATAATATATACTGCATTGAAATAGATGAGGGAGAGAACTATTTAGGAGGAATATATAATTAGGTATTATTTTCATGACAAGTCCAGAGTGAAAGCTGCATAGTGGAGTGGACTGGAAGATTATATAACAAGATTTTTTTTTTTTACTTTTCAAAGAGAAAAGCAAACTGGAGGGGAGGGGTAGGCAGGAGGAAAGTGTGCAACAATGAATGAATGGAAATTCAAAGTCTCTGTAAACTTTCATTAAAAAAAAAGCTTTATATCAAAACCCAACACATACCCCCATTCCAGTATGCTGCCTACAACAAAATTTACTCTTACCACATGTGATATACTTTGACATTTTCCGGACTTATTTAATTTATTAAAAACTTTATTACCCACTATGTTGGTTTGATGATCTATATGCTGGGAAATGTGGCTTTACAGTAATTTATCTGGGGGTGATAGACCTACTAGCTTGGTTCAGGAAAGAGTTCAAACTCCAGAAGGCAAGTGAAATTTTCAGATGTCACAAATACAGTGGGTGTAACTATGAGAGTTCAAAGAGAGCTGCAAAAACTGGTAGGTGTGGTATTTAAGAGAATAAGGCTCCAGTCCTAAGAATTCTAACAGGTGGGTTGCCATCCTCTTTTCTCAGTCTCATCCCACCATCTGAGAACAGTCCTGTCCTCATAGGATTTCTGTGAGGCTTCAATAACTTATGTAAAAAGTCAAGCATAAGACCTGTCATATAGTAGGTAACTAATAAATGATGGTTTAAACTTTTAAGTTTAGTAAATCCTGCACTTAAATTAAAAAACAAAACCTACAGGGGTGGAGTACTGGAGAACAGGGCCTCATATTGGTTCTCGTGTGAAAAAAGCCCAGTGGTTTTCTGACTCAGCTAAAAGGGAGTCAGGAGACTCTAGATCGAGTTGCCAAAGAAGCTATTGTAATCTTGAACTGCATTTCCAAAAGTTCAATCACAGAATAAGAAAAATAACAGCCCCAAAGTAGTCTGTGCTTTTGGCTACTTTAAAGTGTCAAGTTCTGTCCAGAGGGTCGCTCTGAGAGGGAAGGTTTTTCCATAGGTGTTTGTTTGTTCAGAGAAGAATGACAATGCAACTACAATACCAGAGGCGCACGGTTCAAATCCACCAGATGATCTGCCGGGGAAGGAGGGACAATCTCCTCCTGTACCAGTCAGATCTGATTTGACGGTACACTCACACAAAAATAAAAAAATTTAAAAAAAAAGAAAGAAAGAAGAAGAGTGACAATGGTTGTGACCAGGATACCGAGTGGGGTTATCTATTGGGACTAAGATTCTTAAGTGGAAATTTAAAGACAAATTTCAATGTCATGTGGGAAGAACTTGAAGAGATGGGATCTATAGTTCATGTTCTCTGTATCTACAAGGTGGGAAGCTGGACTACATGCCTTTTTTAAGATTTTTCAAATTTTCAGACCATGTTGCTAATAAAAACAAAGGAGTAGTTAGCTTCTGGAAGGCCTAGAAGGCAGGGGAACTCTTTACAGAGATCCCCTGACCTCAGACTGATTTAGGGAAAATTGGTGATTAACTCTCTCCCAGGCATCTTCCACAGTAAAACAAAGGGGCACCAGAAAAGGAGAGTGTGGACAAGACTAATGAAATGAAACCGAGCCCAGCACATCCTTTACAACTCCTTAACTCCCTCTGCTGTCATCATTACCCTAAACTCACACTGTTTGGAAACGCAGCTGGGCCCTGACCTATTCTTCAGCATTAGCCATTAAAGCAGAATCTACTGGAGCAAACTGCAGGCTACCTACACTTGACATAGTTCTGGTTCAGTTTGGTTTCGTTTTCCTCCCCGGTGAGCTCTTGAAATACCCATCCTATCTCAAACCATGTTTGTAAGTATCTCTCCAAGTGTCAATCAGGGCTTTAAGGCCCTGGCCTGCTAACCA